ATATATATGTATAAAACTGCTAGTTTGTATAACTTTCTAAATTAAGTGAAAAATCCATTTATCTTTCAAAATCAGTTTATTCAAAACTTTTGAATGTTAGTGTATACAAGCACAGTTACTTATAACAATATTTTAGTATTATTGAGATATTATTATAGTTTTTATTAATATTTGGCATTTTTAATTTTAGTTAAATTTATTTTTGGTTTTATTAATCTCTTTTTTTTAATATGCCGATATAGCTTTTTTATTATTATATTTTGTAATGTTATGTTTGTAATTTATTTGATCTTATTTCACTTAAAATTTATTTTATTTCAGGTACCAAAAATTATTATTATATTTTTTTATGGTTTTACTTTAACTATAATATCCCTGGTTTATAATATAGTAATATATTAATTGTATAAATGTGTATATAAATATTATAATAGATTTTAAATGAAAGAATTTAATTTTATCATTAATCGATTTTTTTCAGAATAATTAAAGAAAAAGAGTCAGACATTCTAACAGACCGACAGGTGTTGCAGTTGTACGTTTAGCAGGAGTTAGTGATTTTGACTAGTAGCCTCAGTGTGTTTACATCCAGTAAAGTGACTTTTCTGTCAAATTAACCTCCAAAGAAATGTCTTGCGGAGGCAGTCAATCTCATGCTTGATAACATTATCTCACTTCCTGCTGAGCCTGAGAGAAGACAACAAAACTTCCTGTAATATTGAGTGTTTGTGGGAACCGAGACGCCCTGCTCTCTTTCACGTGCGCGGCGTCATAAAGAGCCGCTGCGTTCTGGGCCAAGACTCACGTTGGGATTTAGTTTTAATTTTTATGTTGAACACCGTCACTCTGCATGTAAAAGTGTGAGCGGGGTGCGACAGATCAGAAGGTCTTTGATGTTAATTGCCACTCTAACAGTAAAGTTTAATCACAAAGTCTTCCGTCCTGTCATTATTGGCCTGATGTTTATACAAGAGCTGGACACAAATACAGAGGTCAGTTTAACATCATCTGACTGAGACCGTTTGAATGACTTTGAAACTTACTATATAAATGCATTTGATGCTTCTTATAAAAGCATATTTTTTGGAGGGCGAGGAAAAAAATACTAATATTGGCCATAGGTGTAGAATTTAGTAGAGACGCTATGACATGTCCCTACCAATATCCAGCCATTTCTAAATTGTCCCTAGCAATAATTTTGATCAAACAATTAAATATATGTGTATGTAACTAGTGTTGCTTTCGTCAACGAAAATTATGACTAAATATCGTCGTCAACGAACCTTTATTACGTGACAAAAACGAGACGAGACGAGACGAAAATGCTGGTCATGTGACGATGACTATAATTAAATGTATAATGCAATATCGTTGACGAGGAAAATACAGTAGAAAACTTTGATTTCTTTTTTTATTATTTATATTAAACAGTACAAAACATCAAACCATTAAGGCAATACAGTTATAAAAACAAAACAAAGAAAAAAGAAAAAGTGTACACAAATACAAATTGCTTAAGAAAATTAACTGTGGTTTTACTATTGTAAAAGTTTAGTAACCATGTTTTTTGTATAACCACAGTTTTACTACAAATACCATGGTTAAACTATGGTTAGTGTAGCAAAACCATGGTTAATTTGGAGTAAAACCATGGTTACTTTTCGTAAGGGATGTGTTGCCAGGCTATTAAAATAAATAAATAAATAATAATATACACCTTAAGAGGACACATAGGATGAATATAGAGATGCAGTTTTCACTGCTTTAGGATTAACAAAACTTTGTATAATTCCATATACTTGTCTAGATCAATAAAGAGAGGTTTAGAGCCAGATTTTTACGTATGTGAAATTTAGCTAGCAGGAAACGCAATTCAATTAAGATATATTTTCCTATATTCTCTTTGAGTAGTCAAACAATCTGAAGAAATTATAATGACTTGTACTGTCTTTTTACGCGTTGCGTTGCATCGCGGGTGGGCTTGAGAAAGGTGCGGCCGGCGGATTCGACGAAGGAGCGTCCTGCGGGCTTGCAGCAACCACATGTGACGACCCCGGGCACAGATCAGCTCCAGGCATGACGAAGCGGATATCGTCCTCTTTTAAAAGGCCAAACAAAGTAGTTTCGCTTTCACAACGAAACACAGAAATCGCATCATATGACCCCTTTAAAAAAAATCTGACCCAAATTTTTCTGTGTGGGTACAAAGCAAGTGAATGAAACAAAAAAAAACCAGCAACTCACTTCAGTGTCTGACTTATAGTACAGTTATGTCCGTAAGCTTTTTGTGAAATTTGGATTAACTCTGTAATCTGTTGTTTGACCTCTTCGTATTTAAGGCGAGAACTATAGTTTACGGACATCGCTTGTTGTTATTTTCAAGGGCACAGAATTTTGTAGAGATGCTATGACATGTTCCTACCAATATCGGCGACTACTAAATTGTCCCTAGCAATAATTTTGATCATACAATTAAATGTCTGTTGTCTGCTGTTATGTCCCCACCAATGCCCAAATCAAACCTACACCCTTGATATTGGCCGATATTGATATGGGTTATTCAGATAATCTCATCAATCTCTAAATGCTGGCCAAAACAGCATATTTTTTAGCTTCTTTTTAATTTTGAATGATAGTTTTTGTTTGTTTGTTTGTTTGTTGTTGTTGTTTTTGTTTTGGATAGAGGGGCAGCACAAACAAATTAACATACACTACCATTCAAGAGTTTGTGGTCAGCATTTTTTTTTTAAAAACATGTCTATGTAGTTTTTATTCATTTTTATATTAGTTTTAGTTATTTTAGCACATCAAGTACATCATTAAACTAAACGAAAATCAGCTGAAATAAAATAAGTTTCATTATATTTCAGTTAAAGTTTATTTCAGGTAACTAACATTTTTTAATGGTTTTAGTTAACTATAATAACCCTGATTTATTATATATTGTAAAATTAATAATACATTTTCGAGTTCTAAGACAATAAGTGTGGGGGCTCCACAAGGATGTGTACTGTCACCATTACTGTACTCTGTGTACACAAATGATTGTTTCACTTTGTAAATCAATGCAGATTTTTAAGTTTGCAGATGATACTACATTGATTGGTCAATTAACAGGCAATAATGAATCAGACTATAGAAGAGTGGTGTCTATATTGTTTGAATGGAGTTGTACTCATAATCTGAAGTTGAATGTCCTAAAGACAAAGGAAATGGTATTTGATTTCCGATGGAGGACAAATGCTGTTTTGCTATTAGTTATTAATGGTCAGGACATTGAAAATGTACAAAGCTTTAAGTTTCTTGGGACTATACCATCTCTGCATCGTTGAAGTGGAACGGCAACCTAAGAGACATTATTTAAAAATCCCATCAAAGACTTTTTTTCATGAGACAGCTTAAAAAGATTGACGCATCTAAAGTTGGTATGTTCAATTTTTATAGAGCGGTGATTGAAAGCATGCTGACTTTCTCAATTATAGTGTGGTTTGGTAGCTCCGCAGCTCAGCAGAAAAGTCAGATTAGTAACATAATATATGCATTTGTGTATGTGTGTTGTTTTTCTCAATGTATGTTATCATTGTTGATAAGCTCACCAAACAAAATTCCGAACAACTAGGTTGTTACGACAATAAACAATTAAAGGGACAGCACAAATTCACATAAAAAAAAAATTAAAAATGAAATGAATACTTTTATTCAGCAAGGATGCAATCAAAAGTGACAGTAAAGACATTTATAATGTTACAAAAGATTTCTATTTCAAATAAATGCTGTTCTTTTGAACTTTCTATTCATCAAAGCATCCTGAAAAATAAACTCTATTACTGTTTCCATAAAATTATGAAGCAGCACAACTGTTGTCAACATTGATAATAATCAGAAATGTTTCTTGAGCAGCAAATCAACATATTAAAATGATTTCTGAAGGATCATGTGACACTGAAGACTGGAGTAATGATGCTGAAAATACAGCTTTGATCACAGCAATAAATTACATTTACAATATATTCACATAGAAGAACAGTTATTTTAAATTAGAATAATATTTCACTATATTTCTGTTTTTGTTGATCAAATAAATGCAGCCTTGGTTAACAAAAGAGACTCTAAAAAAATCGGCAAGTGTATACAAGCTCTGTACTTAGTGTTTAAGACTACGAAATGAAATTTAGCAGATACGCAGAGATTTACTAGCCATATTGATCACTCTTGTGAGGTATAAAATGAGCGTGGGCTTTTTGAAGTTCTTGAAACGAAATAAGTGTTTTAAAATAATCAAATGAAGGCTTTGAGAACTATCACATGACTGAAGCCTGATGATGTAGAGAGTGTCCTTGTTTTATTTTCAGGCATTCAGGAGTATGTTGAGGCCGTGTCCTTCCATCACTTCATCAAACATCGCACACTCATCAGCCTGGAGGAAATCAACGCTCGTCTGGTCTTCATGAGAGAAAATAAGGTATGCTACTGTATCCTAAAATCAACATTAGGCATCCATCTGAATATAACCATGGCCTCCTTGATGTTGTCTTGCCAAAACAGACAGGCTACGTTCTCCAGAGCACTTTCACCAGGTTTATCAGATTGCTGGCAATCACTCCATCTTTTGCTGCAATTTTTAGAAAGCAGTGAGGGCCGCCTGCTTTGCACGTATCTCTGTAATTGAGATATTTTTAGACGCATTGGTCTAGTTTGATTTCTCAGTTTTCTAGGTGTTTTATTTGTGAGTAAACTCTTAAATACAGTAGGGTTGATGTATTTTTGTAGGCTAAAAGCAAGTTCACATTTTTGGTTCCTTTGCCCCAAAGTCAATGGGTTTTTGGTTAAATGCCTGAAATAAGGTCTGTGGTGAACACAAGCTCAAAATATTTTCACGTATATTTCACATAGATATTCTATGACATAAAATACATCAGTAATACCCCACTCGTGACTTTTACAAGTGTCTAAATGGGACAACAGAGGTTATTGGGGACATTAAACATCATCACAGCGAACAGGTAAACTCTACTAGTCTTTATAATCATGCTTTTGCATACTATTCTAACTCAAACTTTCATAGAAAACGTTTTTAAATAAAGACTGAAAGAGTTATTGAAGCTTAAAGGTGGTGATGGTGAAGTCATGTGATTCTTCTGTAGTTCGTTTATAACCTAAGCTTTTCATTTCTGACGATGGTATTCAAGCTTAAAAATCCATAAAAGTTGATTTAATTTGCGAACATTTTTGTGATGAACAAAACATGTAAGAATCATGAACTTTGGCTTTTCACAGAGCCTGTTTTCTACAGTAATCCAAAAGCCAATGGAAAAATCCTATTGGGTTTTTGCTGAGGGAATCAGAGTGATGCTAATGGTGCGTTGAAGTCCTCCTGGGAAGTTCGTATTTACGAGTTGGGAAGTTGTAATTGACATTATGGTTAAAATGTGTGTGTAATGGATATTATGGTTAAAAGTCGATTTATATTTTCTATTCATGATTTTACAATACTATCGTATTTTGCACATTTAACTTATTTAAAATTTTGTAAAAAAATTCATTAATTTCAACACATTTATCGTCAGTATAGACACTGTATCCATTGCATCCAACATGTTTTCTTTCTCAGGGTTTCTGCAGACCTTAAAAGGTCTTAAATAGGAGCAAAAAGTTTTAAATTCATAAAGTCATGGCATTCCATGCACTGAAAAAAATTTATATCTTCCTCAGTATTTTGTTGTTTTGTTTTCCAATACAATTATCTAAACATCCTTAAATCAAGTTACATTGACTTGAGAGACAAATTGATCATATGAAGTCTTGTTTTCTGAGAAATGGAATGAGTTTGTTTAAAACAAGGACAAATGTCTGTCAGTGGGCCTTTGACTGAATTAACTTGTTTTCTCTTTGAATTAAGTTTGTATTTAAACCATAAAATCACATTTTGATCAGGTTCTCATAAAACAAGACTTATTATCTCATGTCATATTTTTCTTCTCAAGTAAATGCATCTTGATTTTAAATCTTTGGACGTTTGCACTGGAAAACGAGACAAAAATACAGAGGAAGAGCATCACTTTTTTGCAGTGTGATCAGAAGGTACAGTAAAAATTATTTCTGTGTATTTGTAAAAAAAAAAAAAAATGTAATGGAGATATGTTGGAGGTTGTATTTTCAAACTGTGAAGTGTTGCTAATTCAAGACATTCACATCTAGAGACCATATTTTCACTTATTGTGATGTAGGGATAGTTCACCCAAAAATGAAAATTCTGTCATCATTTACTCACCCTCAAGTTTTTCTAAACCTGAATGAGTTTCTTTATTCTGCTGAAGACAAAAGAAAATATTCACGTTGGTAACCAAACAGTTGGTGGTAGCCATTGACTTCCATAGTATAGGGGGGGAAAAGACTATGGGATTCAACTGTTTGGCTATTCTTTAAAATATCTTCTTATGTGTTTAACAGAAGAAAGAAAATCATACAGGTTTGGAACAACATAACGGTGACAAAATTTTCATTTTTGGGTACACTATCCCTTTAAATGTATTGTTATTTGGTCTTAGAAAGGTCATAAAAAGGCTTAAATTTACCTTCATAAAACCTGCAGAAACCCTGTTATGTAAACATGTGGTGTTTAGAACGTTCAGTTTCCCATTCATAATTACAAGCTTGTGGTGATGTTCATGTGCGTTCAACTCGTAAATGTGATCTTTCCAACGTGACTTCAACACACCAAAACTACAAAAATACATCATCACTGCAGCTCTCCATTGATCATACTGAAAACTAGGGTCACTGCTAGATTGATCAGCCATTCATTCATTAGCTAGAATATAAACTGGTGATCCAAAAGCCATTGTTTGCTCGTCTCTTTCTCTGAAGGGTGAAGGTGAGGTCGTGTGGGCCAGCCCGAGCGTATTGACCTTCCAGATAACGCCGATCGACTACCTGCTGGGCGTAGCGGACCTGACGGGCGAGTTGATGCGCATGTGCATAAGCAGCGTGGGCAACGGCGACATAGACACCCCCTTCCAGCTCAGCGGCTTCCTGCGGGAAATCCACGACGGCTTCTCCTACATCGGCAACACGGGACCCTACGAGGTGTCTAAGAAACTGCACACGCTGCGGCAGAGCCTGGGGAAGGTGGAGGACGCGTGTTACACCCTACGCGTGCGCGGATCCGAGATTCCCAAACACATGCTAGCCGACGTGTTCTCCAGCAGGCCGGCGACACATTTGGACCGGGAGGACCCGATGGTGTGAGATACCGAGATGCGACGCGTGTCCTTTCATGTGCATGTTGGACTTTGCGAATAGACTGGGCATATTATTGTGAGAGTATTTTTAGTTTAAGGACTCATTTCTCTCTGTATTTGTTTCAGTGGTTGCATGTTGTTAACACGTCTAGTTCTTCAGTTTTCAGCTGTTGTATCTTGTTCCTTCTAATCTGCCTGAAAGCTATAAACATGTTTACCGTTATTTTGAAATCAAACAGCCTCAGAACTGACAATAAAACTGTTTTTTGGTACAAACTTGGCTCCCTGGATACATCTCAACAGATCACATTAGGGTGACTATTTAATAAGTGGTTAGTTAGTTATTTCTCAAATACCCCAATTGTTAATAGATTTTTTACTCCAGAGAAAAAAAAGCCAGTTTTATTCAATTAAACATTTTTTTTAATTATTATTGAAAAACCTCTGCTCAAATTAATAAAATGATTTGGGTGATATTCTGATCTAAAAATCTTTTGAAGTAGTGGGCTTAATGTTACTTAAGTAACATTAAAACGTAATACGTAGTTGAATTGAAAGTTCGATTAGCCAACACAAGGCTTCGACTGAGCAGATAACCATAGCAACTGGAAACAGCTCGAGCGATCGTAATGGAACGCATATACAGTATGTAGCCTATATACTGTATATATATATCACAAATACAAAAACTAAACGAAAAATTGTCATGACTGGACATGAATGAAAAAGAAAATCAATTTTTTTTTTAAATCATACAGTTGTTTACATAGTTGATGACTGTAATATTCTCTCAGTCTTTACTGTATTCTCTCTAAGCACCGTTTCAACAACTTTCCTATGAGAGCTCGAGATTTTGCGTTGTACAATACTGACGCATAGTGGCTATTCAAGTAATTGCACAAGCAGGAGCGATCATGCAGGTCTTCAAATATTACAGTATGATGAGTAAATATAACAACTGTGTTGAGGTCTCAAGCCAGGATGATGTTTTGAAGTAAATAAGCTGGAATATAGACATTATAAAACAACATTTGTTTGTGACTACATAGTTCCATTGATTTATACCATTTGTGTTATTCCATATAGTTGTGATGACTTTACTAATATTATAAAATGTGAAAACCAGTCATAATAAATAAAAACAAACTTTTAACTGGTAGTATTCTTTGACTTTTATGTGTCAGCAAAAGTCAAAGGTTAAAGTATTATATTTATACCTCATGATCATATTCACACCATGTGTTAGTGTAACCTGTAAAATGTCAGATATTCTTAAACATCACTTACATTGACAGCAAAAGAACTGGTTCAGTGGTTGACATTGGGCCCTAAAGTCATGAGATCAGATGTTAATTTGATTTAGCTGCTTCAGTCAGAGGCTTTGATTCTGACGCTCTGGGTGGTTTAGCTCAATTAAACCATTATGAGACAAACACAGGCCTCGAACGAGACTTTCCACTGGCTATAGAGCACAACACAAAGAGCGGCTCTGTTCGTCCGCTCACTGCTGCTCCCTGGGCCTGAACGAGACAGAAAGACACAACAGGAACACATCCAAGCAGGGATTGCATTTGGCAAATGGATCAGATGTCTGATTATTCCAGTTCATACTTCATGATAACTGAATGAAAACCTCTCAGTTTAACATTCATGTCAATGATATAAAGAGTATAGGCAAAACCAGTTACAGAACAGCTTCAACCCAGACACCTGTTAAACACAACCTGAACTGTTCAAATCTGCTTTGAAGCTTAGAATATACTGATAACCAACATAATAACCCAGAGAACAGGGAATGTTGTCAGAACGTTCTGGCAACGTTCTTCCAGTAACATTAATAGAACGTTCGTTCAGAGTTATCTGGTCTTTAGTAACATTCTCAAAACGTTAGCACATTTATTTGAACATTGTAGTTGGACCTTCATCTAAGATTCAGAAGGTTCAGAGAACATTCCCATAATGTTCGCAAAATAATAAAATGGAACGTTCACTTAATGTTGTGTTTAACATTCACATAACCAAGAGAAATCGTTTTAAAATTTTTTTTTTTTAAATGGACGTTTTGAACATTCAGGAATAATGTTTTAGCAAAACGTTCTTAGAACACTTTTTTTTTTGTTGCACAGGGACTTTATGGGAATGTCTTTTGACTTCTATTTTTACTATTATATGAAAAAAATAATATTTTATTACTTTATTGTATTGTTGAATATATAGCATAGATTTTACATTTATTGTCGTGTTAAATCTAAAATAATTTTCCAATGTATGTTTTACGGTTACAGTTAACCAACAAGCGAAAATGTTTATGAATGTCAAAATATCAAGTGTCTGTAGTATATGTGTCTCAAATGCTGCATGCTTTTCTTGCTCAATGTCTTTGATCAGCTGGTGTTTAATTTGGTCATTTTTAGTGGATATATGAAGTCAGTTCTCCTCAAGTTCACACAGGTGTCCTAGCAAAGGATCCATTTCAGATGTCACTTTCAACACTATTTATTGCTAAATCAAACCTAACAAACTTCTGTTTTGTGAAATGTTTTGTTTTGCTTGTGCTTCTTTCTTTCTTTACAATAAATGCCACTTGGTTTGGTATTTTGTCATGACTTTCAGACATTTTAAAGCTCATAAGCAGTGTTGGGGGTAACTCATTACAAGTAACGCGAGTTACGTAATCAGATTACTTTTTTCAAGTAACTAGTAAAGTAACGTATTACTTTTTTAATTTACAAGAAAATATCTGTTACTTTTTCAAAAAAGTAACGCCAGTTACTTTGTTTTCCCATTTATTGACTGACAAATGCATTACTTTTAAAAGTAACTTTCCCCAACACTGCTCATAAGTGACATAAGCGTCCAAATGCCAAGCCCGTCCAGTATGAAGTTCGTGGGAGTTTTGCTTTGGTGTGAATCAGTGAATCAAAGAGTCAAATTCCAGCAGCGGACGTCACAGAAACTCCTTCACAACACGCCGCGTAACGGGACAAAGTGCGGCTGCAATCCGGCTCTCGTCTGCTTTCTGACAACCATGTGCCGTGGCTTCATTTTTCCAGTGGACAATGGGAGAAAAAAACAACAACAAAACAAAGAACTTTGAAATATTTACTATGAATTAAACAGAGGAACACAAACGCGAGCTTTCTTCGTTTCCCTCTCGCAGGAAACTCGCCATTTGCTTCCCAGAGTTGGATTTTTTGTTGATCTGTTTTATTCAAGCGTCGATTAAGATTACATATCTGACAACCCCGGACTTTAAGTGGATAGCGTAAACAAACAATACATATTTCTGAAGGAAAGTGAACGCGTTCGGTTCACGCGTAAAGGCGCACGCGACGCGCGCGGGGTTTGGAGTTTAACTGACCGCAACTAGTTCCGTGGATTTACCTGTTTTAACCCGTCATGATGTTCGCGGGAATGATCAGGGTGGAAAACAGCTCAAAAACACCCAAAATTGACACCGACTCCACGTGTCACCGCTGCGCTGTGAGGGCAGGTAAGACAAAATACCATGGTATTCCTTGATGTACCTTATCACTGCATGTAATTAGCTTGGCACTGTAGTAACACTAACAACGAATTATCAAGATACCATGGTATTACTGTATTTTATTAGACATGATATGCTGGAAGTACTATGGACAGTTGTACCATGGTATTATGGTAAAGTAGCTTGTGAATACCATGGTATTGCTTGATGTTGGTTGTCACTGCATGAAAATAGTTTGGTATACTGTAAAATGACTTTTAGAAGTTTTACAAGAAAATACTGTTTCAGTCTTTTTGCCTTAAAATAATGTGTTTCTTTGCAATTATGTGTGAAATTTACTAGCAATTTCTGAGTGAAGATGGTTTCAAAGCCTTTTATTTGGTATATATGTTAAAAAGTAATTTAATTTCATGTTTGTACCATAGAACCGTAATAAACTGAGACACTAACAAAAAAAAAATTGGCCTACTAAAGGTACCATGATATTACTATGTTTTATTGGACATGATGGATGCACTATGTTTATGAGCAGTTGTACCATGGTATTCTTTATAATAGCATTAAGTAGCATGTGAATACCATGGTAAATATGGTAGTCATTCAGCACAATGGTGTATATCAATGTCCTATGATGATGTTACCTTGTTTTTGACCATGTTGTTGCTGTTTGACCATGGCAATTCATTAAGTACCATGGTAATATATGTACAGTATATCAAAATACCACGCTGTTACCATCTGATATCATCACTCTGCCACTACAGTACTTTTTACTGACTAATGGGATGTTTTCTGAACTTTAAGCCTCATGTTTTGATTTCTAATGTGCAATGTGATCTTTGGGAACGCAGTCTTTTCCTTTATTCCTTTCGCTACAATCTCTTCCCACATTAAAGCTCAGCAAACAGTGTCAGAATACATGAGGACGGAGCATCTGGTGGTCTAGCGGTTTAATTATTTTTAGACATCCATCAGAAGGGTAGATAAGTTTTCACTGAGTTTAACGAACCTTTCCAGTCATAACAGCCCTTTGCATCCAGATTCAGATCTGGCTTTCAGACATAATATTGTTGGTGCCCACATGCAGGCGGCTGTGGAGAAACGTGAAACTCATGTAAAACACACTCGATGTGGAGAATAATTTGAGCAAACATTGAGATGTAGTCCAAAAATTCTGCCTTGTCACTCACAATATATGTGTAGTAAAATACTTACACGACAGCTTTGCGAGTGTTTATTAGCAGTTGGCATGCTGCTAATTGGCATGGCAGAGATTAGGGCCGACAGCCATCGTGATTAGAGTCAGTAGAAGCTACTTGGATGAATGCATCTGTGTTGTTAATCTGTCAAAGTCTCTGTTCTGTTTTTACATCCATAATTCAGGTATTCAGGCCAGTTTGAGCATCTCTGTCTGTTTTTCAGTGTGGAACGGCATGTAGTGCATGGGAGAGTTTTAAAGAAAAGTTAATCCAGAAATGAAAATACTGTCATTATTTACTCACCCTCATGTCGTTACGAACTTGTATGTCTTTCTTTCTTGTGAAACACAAAATTAGATATGTATCAGAAGTTCAAACTGCTCTTTTCCATATTGTGAAAGCAAAAAAGGTCTGATTCTTGCTGAAAATGCCGTTAGACATAATTCATGTCAAACATACAGGTTTGGAACATTGATGACAGAATTGTCCTTTTTGGGAGAACTATCCCTGTAACTGTGTTATTTTGATTCAGTTTCTGTTACAGTTTCATTGTTCGTGTTCTCTTTTGTCATCAGATTTGTTGATGTTCAAAGCTGTTTATGTTCAAATAGTTTGCTCAGTTCATGTGGTTTATTGTGTGTGTGTGTGTGATTTTCAGCTGGTTTGTGTCTCCTTTGTGAGCGAACAGGAAGTGCGCCGAGACCTTTGCCAGAACTTCAGCAGAAGTGCAGCTGCTAAATTTAAACGCAGTATGGAGGTTTTCTTTTGTTTGTCAAATTCCCCTGTGCACGAGTCCCTAACTTAACAAATTAGACCAGAAAATTATCCTGTTCTTTGAGAAGCTGTATTAATATTAAATATGTGTTCTGAGTTTGTCACACCACAGAAAAATGTGTTATTAACCACCCAGCCAAATTTGAATGATTAAAAAAAAAAGGCAAGTAAATAAACTAAGTTATCAAAATCTTAATAAGCAGTATTCTCTGCTCTCAAATGCTGGGGGAGTGTCCACTGTCAGCACTGGCACTCTGTCTTTCTTGTGGTTGGAAGGGACTGCTTTGTGAACAGATAATAGTTGAAATTACTTGACTAATGAGCCAAACATACTGATGCATATAAACAAAAGAATCACGTTAGAGGGTTGCAAAATTTAGTAGAGTTACTGTGGACTGCCTACTATAATTATTACATAAGCACACAAGACAATTTACACTTATTGGTGGGTGTGTACTGCCAACAATGGCACCAGATGTTGGCAGGACGGGAGGATGAAGGCCAGGACAGGAGACAGTCAGTTCGGCCCCATTCACCAGTAACAGTGGATTATCAGTGAATCCCAGTTGTCTCCGATGAAAATTTGTAAAACTATCCGGTGTGAAATGCAGAGGCGGGGGTTGGTGGTGATCCTCAGCTCTCCGTCAAGGTGGCTCTTCACAAGGTGGCTCTTAATCCACCTCTTCTTTATATCATCGTTTTTAGGAAATCTAAATAAGGAGACCGAGCTCTTTTGTAAAGTATTGCAACCAGGTAATATGCATTTACGTGATGAAGGCATAGCTGGCTAGCAAAGTGTAGGCTGTAGTAACTAACGGTAATGACAGTAACGATTGAGCAGGTGAACTGATGCTAATGGTCAGTGGCTCCAGTGCGTCATCGAGACATGATTTCAGGTCCAACCAAAAATGATGAAAAATTGTGGTCTAACTCTACAATTCAGTACTAGTTCACATTCTTTGTAACGTGTTTTCAGCAGTACATTTCTAACATTTATAATGTGTTTAGAAACAATTCTCTGAGTTGCCTTTACACAGACTTTAAGTTTTTAATTAGGTATAATTTGTTGTTAAAAAAACACAAATAACACATTTAATGCATCAATCTTTGTCTGTCTGTCTGTCTGTCTATCTGTCTATCGTACTATCTATCTATCGTACTATCTATCTATCGTTATCTATCTATCGTACTATCTATCTATCGTACTATCTATCTATCGTACTATCTATTTATCTATCGTACTATCCGACAGCATTTCTGCAGTGGTGTGAATCAGTAGCTGTTTCCATCAGCCTGTTTTTATGTGCATTTTCAAGATCTATCGTACTATCTATCGTACTATCTATCTATCGTACTATCTATCTATCTATCTATTGTACTATCCGACAGCATTTCTGCAGTGGTGTGAATCAGTAGCTGTTTCCATCAGCCTGTTTTTATGTGCATTTTCAAGTATCGCATCAGAAAGGAGTGATGTAAATACCAAATTTCGGGGGGAAAAACCCCCTTAATTTCCAAAATAGTTTTTACACTCGCTTGAGATGGTTTTTGACTTGTGCAAAAAAGAGTTAATGTGAAAAATGGGAGATGGAAATGCATTTTGCGAATAAATTCCTCCATGCGCCTCAAAAAAGTCATGTGATTTTGTGCTATGGGACGGCATAACCTGACTAACCAGCGGACCGATCTCGTTGCACAGCATCTGAAATGTTGTTATGGTCGTTCTTAAATGCCTGAGCAAAGTCTGTCGTCAAATTATTTCTCTATAATTGCCTCCCAGAACTGTCACAGCATCCACCTCTGAAAGCAATGACCGCATTTATTGTGTTTCGTCTTCTATAATATAATTTATTATAATTGAAAATGATTATATTCAGTGGCTTCTCCAACTTTTCTTAGTGATATTTAGTGCCAGTTTATCAGGAAGTGACGATTTTGTTCTCTTTGACTCGTTGGAATTTAAACGGTGCTTTTATTTGCAAATGTTTTATGCGATTTTCCAATTGTGTGCATAAGTTAAATTCGCAACTTTGGATGTAAACATAGCTAGAGTTATTTTTGTATTGTAGTTTTAATCACTATTTGGAATTCTCTATTATTTTTATATTTTCAGTTTTCGTTTTAATTTCATTTTAATTTTTAGGAATTTTGTTACATGCTTTTGAAATTTTTATTAGTTTTTGTTTTTAAAAAATGTTTCTAAATAGTTTTATTTTATTTCAGTTTTAGTTTTATTTAGAACTTCAACTTTCAGCTATTTTAGTTAGTTTCCAAGGCAACATTTTAAATTTTCGTTTAGTTTAAATTTTTAATCTAATGTTTTATTCTATTTCAGCTTTATTTTAGTTAACACAGATGTTTTGGTTTTAGTTAACTGTAAAAACACAGCTGTGAACATGGTGTTTTGGTTGTTGTGGGCACACAGAGAGCTGAGCTTGTTCTCACTGTTGTCTTGACTGTCTGCTGTGTTAAAAAGGAGAGAGGAAAAGACTTGCAGAAAATGACCGTCAAACTCTCACTTCCTCAAACGCTGCCGTCACTGGACGAGTCACACTATACATGCATGTGTAAGTGTGGTGAATCAGCTCAAATGGTGAAGTGTTTCTGAAACGGATTGGCATTTTCTCCTCAAACATTCCCTTTTCCTCTTCATGATCTCCTTGGCGTACTGTCGTGTGTGTGTGAAGCGCTCGTGAGTGAAGCAGAAGTGTGTTTGGAGAGGGCCTCTCTAATCGACTAAGGTAAACACACATGTTTCTCTCAGGGCCATCAGCTCACTGAAGAATGATGGCTTTTCAGTGCATGTCAATATTGATTGAAGCTTGTGTTGTGTTTCTGTTAGTGCTTAAACCGTTTATCAGTAATTAGTGGTGTTTGCTTAGTCAAACATCTATTTCTCTTGCACATACTTGGTGTTTTCATGTACTTTGAGGATGTGATCAAACCTCTTTGTGCTCCAGACATAAATTATTTCTCAAATCATGTGTGTTGTTGAGAAAAGCACCATTTTCACCTGCTGGACCATAAACGGGT